TTTGGAAGTGCCCACGTCTGTGGCCGCTCGTTGTTGTTGTGGCCAGTGTTCGACCAGGCTGTCGGACCAGGTGCTCACCCAGCCGTTGTGGACACGCGTCGCCGTCCTGGATGCATCTTGGGCTGTCTTGGAGACAGCGTGAGGCCATCTTGGGCTCTCTTGGGGCCATCGAGTAGCCGTTTTGGAGACCGTCTTGGCTGTTTTGGAGGCCATTGTGGCGCCGTCTGGAGCGGGAAGACCGACAGCCCGGGAAGCTTGCGGGTCCTTAGGGGGCGTTTGCGCGTCAGGCCTCTGTATCCGCATGGCTTCTTCTGCTATTCGCGTGGCTTTTTCTGTATCCGCATGGTTTCCTCTGCTATTCCATCGGCTTCCTGTTGCTATTTCAATGGCGTCCAAGCAGTCGTCCAACAATCGTGAATCTCAGAAGATTTGTAGAGTTGAGTAGAGCAGAGCAGAGTAGAGAAACTTATATCCGTACATAAAAACATACCAGAGTGGAATATAGCAGGGTAGGGTAGAAGAGATGAGATCATAGTAGAGTAGGGGTTGAGTAGAGTATTGGTATGTTGTGTATCGTATATGAGGGTAGGGTCGAGTATGTAGGGCAGATTCGAGTCGAGTAGGGTAGAGTAGAGCAGAGTAGAGTGGGTGGTAGATGGTAGAGTCGAGTAGATCTGAGTAGCATAGAGTAGAGCCGCATAGAATACAGAGTCGCTTGGAGTAGGGTAGAGTCGAGTAGGAGTAGAGTAGAGTAGGAGTAGAGTAGAGGATAGTAGAGTAGAGCAGAGTAGAGTAGAGTAGAGCAGAGTATAATCACAAGGACGGATAGGGCAGGGTAGCGTAGGGTAGAGTCGAGCAGAGTAGAGTAGAGTCGGGTAGATTGTAGAGTAGAGTCGGGTAGAGTAGAGTAGAGTAGAATGTAGTAAAGTTCACTCCCGTCCAGTCCAGTCTACTCCAGTCAAGTTTTCTTCGGTCCACTCCAGTCCACTTCATTTCAGTCCTCTGATCTATTTTGAGCCTGCGCTTGCTGATCAGAGTGAGGGGGCCGAACGGTCATTCACTGTCCCTGGGTGCATGGCTGAAGTGGAATTCCGCGGTGCGGATTCTCGTTGTTGTTGTTGTTGTTGTTGTTGTTGTTGTTGTTGTTGTTGTTGTTGCTGTCGTTGTCGTTGTTGTTGTTGTCGTCGTCGTCGTCGTCGTCGTCGTCGTCGTCGTCGTTGTTGAACATTATTTCTTCTTAAGAATAATTATTGTTGGGACCCCTGGTGCACGACCCCCCCGCCGCGCCTAGGCCGCAGCCACATTTTCATCATTTTCGTGAGGAAGTCTCAGGCAAAACGATTGGTACCGGATCCGGTTGTTTTGTTGACGCTCGTTTTCCCTTGCAAAAAACATCATAAAATGAAAATTCTTGTTCTTACTTGATCAAATTGCAAGAATCCCTTGCAAAAAATAAGGTAAAGTGGACATTCGTGCGCGCAAGACGAAATCCTTCCAAAACCTTAGGTTTCGTAACGATTTTAACATAAAAACATCAAAAACCCAATGGTTTTTTAAGAAAAAATTGTCAAAATGTCCTTCCGCGCGCGCTGTCCGAATCCTACAAAACCAATGGTTTTTCAACATTTATGTTACATGAGCTCGCGCGAGCTACTTTTTCTTGTTCTAACATAATCAAATTTCAATAATCCCTTGCAAAAAATAAGGTAAAGTGGACATTCGCGCGCGCAAGACGAAATCCTTCCAGAACCTTAGGTTTCGTAACGATTTCAACATAAAAACATCAAAAAGCCAATGGTTTTTCAAAAAAAAATGTCCAAATTTCATCCCGCGCGCGCTGTCCGACTCCCACAAAACCAATGGTTTTTCAACATTTATGTTACATAAGCTCGCGCGAGCTACTTTTTCTTGTTCTTACATAATCAAATTTCAACATCCCTTGCAAAAAAAAGTAAAGTGGACATTCGCGCGCGCAAGACCAACAAAAAACACGACGATCTCAGGAACTTGCCCCAAAAATGTGACCAACTCCGCTCTCTCTGTCTCTCTCTCTGTCTGCTCTCTGTCTCTCTCTCTGTCTGTCTGTGTCATGTATTGTATGTCACAATTGCAGGATGCTGGGCACACGCGCGCCCCGAATAAGTGACCAAGTTCTGTGGGTGTGTACCCCACGCCAGTGTAGTAGCCACGGTCGTCCGCACGCCACGAAGTGAAGTGTCCCAACGTCATAGGGCGGGAAGCTGGGTTTGGGTGGTCGCGAAGAGTCGTTTGGATATTTGGTAGAGCTTGAACTGCCCCCCCACGAAGTGGGGGTATTGTCTCGCGTCGCATGAAAACCCTGGCACTGGTGAGAACACTGAGCGTTCGGGTAAAATGATTGTTGTTGTTGTTGTTGTTGTTGTTGTTGTTGTTGTTGAACATTATTTATTCTAAAGAATAATTATTGTTGGGACCCCTGGTGCGCGGCCCCCTCGCCGCGCCTAGGCCGCAGCCACATTTTCATCATTTTCGTGAGGAAGTCTCAGGCAAAACGTGGGTGTCCGGATCCGGTTGTTTTGTTGACGCCCGCTTTCCCTTGCAAAAAACACTATAAAATGAAATTTCTTGTTCTAACATAACCAAACTTCAAGAATCCTTTGAAAAAAATGACACGAAGTGCACACTCGCGCGCGCAAGATGAAATCCTTCCAAAACCTTAGTTTTCGTAGCGATTTTAACATAAAAACATGAAAAACCCAATGGTTTTTCAAAAAAAAAGTTTCAAACATTCATCTTGCGCGCTCTTGCGGATTTCTGAGGAAACCCAATATTTTTTCAACATTTCTGTCAAACGGGCTCTTGCGAGCAACTTTTTCACGTGCTTCGAACTTCTGCAACAACGGTTGCGCGCATGCCAGGGCCATCATCCCTGTCAAATAATACCATATTGGACACATTCGTTTTTTCTTCGCGCGCGCACGCCGTCGTCGTCGGCCGCGGGGCCCTGAATAGTAGCCACGGTCGTCCGCATGCCACGAAGTGAAGTGTCCGAACGTCATAGGGCGGGAAGCTGGGTGTGGGTGGTGGCGAAGAGTCGTTTGGAAATTTGGTAGAGCTTGAACCGGCCCCCCCACAAAGTGGGGGTATTGCCCGCCTCCTATGAAAACCCTGGCACTGGTGAGAACGGAGTGTCCCCAGTGCTTAAGTGATTGTTGTTGTTGTTGTTGTTGTTGTTGTTGTTGTTGTTGTTGTTGTTGTTGTTGTTGTTGTTTGTTGTTTGTTGTGTTGTTGTTTGTTGTTTGTTGTTTGTTGTTTGTTGTTTGTTGTTTGTTGTTGTTGTTGTTGGTTGTTGGTTGTTGGTTGTTGTTGTTGTTGTTGTTGTTGTTGTTTGTTGTTGATGTTTGTTGTCGTCGTCCCACCCGCAACCCGCCCCGCGACGACCGCGACCCCCCCGCGACCCACCCGCGACCCACCCGCGACCCACCCCGCGACCCACCCCGCGACCCACCCCGCGACCCACCCCGCGACCCACCCCGCGACCCACCCCGCGACCCACCCCGCGACCCACCCCGCGACCCACCCGCGACCCACCCGCGACCCACCCGCGACCCACCCGCGACCCGCCCGCGACCCACCCGCGACCCAAACCACGTTCAAGGTACAAACCACCATTTTCGGCGCCTGCGGCGGGTTTTTTTGCATTCCTTCCAGGTGGAGAGCCCGCGACCCACCCCGTGACCAACTCGCGACCAACCCGCGACCCAAACCACGTTCAGGGTACAAACCACATTTTTCGGCGCCTGCGGCGGGCATCTTTTGCATTCGTTCCCGGTGGAGAACCCGCGGCCCACCCGCGACCCAAACCACGTTCAGTGTACAAACCAATTTTTTTGGCGCCTGCGGCGGGCATCTTTTGCATTCCTTCCAGGTGGAGGTGGAGCGCCCGCGACCCACCCGCGACCTAAACCACATTCACTGAACAAACCAATGCTGGGAGGACGATGATGGAGGCCGATGAGGGGGAGGACGACAATGGGAGGACGATGATGAAAGGACGAGGGGGGGAGAGGGAGGACGAGGATGAAGAGGAGGACGAGGAGGAGGACGAGGTGGTGGAGGAGGATGACGATGACGATGAGGACGAGGACGAGGAGGAAGAGGAGGAGGAGGATGAGGGTGAGGAGGAGGAGGAGGAGGAGAACGCCATTGACAGGGAAGGTGGGGGCCACGAGGTCCGCCGGCTCGACGACGCCCGCGTCGCCCGCGCCCGCCCCCTCACTCTTATCCGCAATTGCGGGGTGCTACGTATTTTGTTAATCCTGCCGATCCACTCGTCACTCTGTCCACTGCGGGCTTCTGGAATGGAGCATAGAACGATACGAATTAACCCTAAAAGCGTATCAGCGCCAGGGGGGGAGGGAGAGGAGGAGGAGGAGGAGGAGGAGGAGGAGGAGGAGGAGGAGGAGAAGGAGGAGGAAGAGGAAGAGGAAGAGCACGAGCAGATGGTAACGGCAATAAACAACAATCTCAGAGCATGTTGGAAGTTTGGACTCCCAGCCACGCTCCCATAATACCGAGGGAAGTCGCGCGAGAAGCCCCGGGAGCGCCCGGGGTCGCCCATGGATTCCGTGAGGGGCGGCCTGGATTTCTCGTCCTCGGCCACGATATTTTCAGCATTGAGAACTCGAAGGGGCCTGAAGTCGAGACGGGAGCAACCACAGCCCATCCACCAAGGGTGAGGATCCCTCCGGCCGCATCGGGCGCCACTCGCTCTTTCGGAGCCGATGGATGAGGGAGCTCACTGGCGGGGTGGGAGCGGGACTCCTTGAGACGAAGAGGTGCCATGACGCTTGAGGCGGGCATCGCAGCGTCCTTGAGGCGTCCCAGAGAGGGCCTCACCCTCGAGGGATGGGGAAGTTGAGCCCGGCGGGGGACGACGACGGCGGGCACACCAGCGGATGCGTTTTGTGCAGTCGGCCATTCCGGCCCGGCGCCGGCCGCGGCCGGCGCCACCGGCACAGGCCGCACCGCAGTTCGACGGGTATTGGGTCACCCAGGACATGGACAAGGTGACAATCCGGGGCAAGGATCGGGCCAAACGAAAGCGGGGGATAGGGAAAGGGGGGGTTACGAAATCTACTGCATGCAGCTGGTTTCGGCCCCACCGAGGGGCCCATTCCTCGATACATAGCCGCCTCCGGCGCCGGGAGGCGCTGGGAAAATCAGCTAATTACGTGAGCTGATTCTCAGACCCCCCCTTTGCTATCCCCCCCTTTCGCCCAGCCCGAAAGGAGATCAGCTGGCCCGACGGCACCATCTGGATAATGCGCACGTTCGACAGCCACATGTTCACCGTGGTGGACGATGGCGAGACCTACACTGCGCAGCTCGTGTCGGCGGGGGACGCCCTGCAGTGGACAGACGGGGACAGCTGGATACTGGACGCGGCGCTGTCGCCGAAGGTGAGGCGCGAGGACACCAGCGAGCAGACGGAGGCAGGGCGACCACCACGAAGAAAAGGGGTCCCGAGACAAGGGGTCCTGACGCTTTTCGCCGTGTTCGGGCTCCCTCAGGGCTCCCTGGACCGCAGGGCCGTCAGAATACGACTCGGGATGAAAAGCCAGTCCTGGAGCGAGCCCCAGAGTCTAGGACCCGTTCTTCCTCGGGACATGTGTCCCTCGGGGTCGGTGATGGCATACCTCGTTCGAGCGGTCAAACCTCCCCTGACTTCCGACATGTTGATTTGTTCAATCCGCGGGACTCAGAAGACACGACATCTTCCCCCAGGACAGTTTTTATGTCCCGGATCCATGTTTGCCTGCCCCAGGGCCCTCAAATTGCACCCTGATGACGAAGCAGAAGAAAAACGCCAGGATTGAACAGTTCAGTCCGCTCGAAGTCTGGGTTGGGGCTCATGCCCTTCTCCCTCGGCGCTGCTGCCTTCCCTTTGCGGTCTCGCCTCCCCGTCGCGCGGGGAGAGCGCCGGGGTCATGTACGGCGCTATTGCCGGAGTGGGCGGGCAGGGGCCAGGCGAGTGACATGCTCGTTGTGCTTCCTTCGGTCGTAGGCACGTCAACAAGAATTTAGACAAATCTCTAAAGTTTTCAAGCGCGCATATATTTTTAGATTTCTCTGCTTTAAGTTTTTCTGGAGTCTCGGTTTCAAGTAACCGGCTTGCAGCTAAGGGCCCCCCGCAAAGTCTGCTGCTCCCCCAGGGCCCCAGGGACCCAGAGACCCACAGGGGTCTCTGGGCACCCCTGTCAGGCAGGTTGTGGTTGGACGGCGCACGTGCCCCCACATTCTTACAGCGAGGTCTTTCGCATCGCGTGGGCCTGCTGCAGCACTTGCTCGCCCTCCTATCGGCACGCCCATCGCTCCCCTCGCGAGGGGGGCACCTTTCTGTGCCCAGGCCTGCCAGGGGCCTCCCGCTGGCACCAGGGAGACCCCGTGGAGGAGCTCGAGGGCGTGAGCTCCGATCGAGGAGAGACACGAGCACGGATTCGAGGCGCGTGGCTGGGCAACGGGCCCCAGCCTGCGTACCACACCGGCGCGCTCCGTCGCCGGATTCTGCGGCACTGGCCTCCTGTCTCGGGGCGGCCCGCCCCGATCCGCGGGGGCAAAACAGTGGACCGCCCTCGTCGTCGACACCGTGCTCGTCCCCCGCTCCCCCACGACTCAGAGTTGGGCTCCGGCGTGGTAGAGGCCCCGGGGGTTCCACGTTTTTGGTCCTTTCGAGCCTGCGCTCTTGAACGTCCGGGAACATCTTTGAATGTGGGGGGAGGGGAGGGGGCAGAGGCAAGGCTCACACTTGTTTGTCCATCTTCGGGGGGTCTGGGGGGGGGGCATCTTGGGCCACAGGGTTCGAATCTGATGTCCATGTACGGTAGCGCCCACGCTTCAGATCCAGGGATCCCTAATCCGATCCATGTCAGCATGCGCCCGATCCGCGGGCTCGCAGCGGCCCCGAGCGGCCAGCTCCCTGCGTTGGCCCGCCAGGGGGCTCCCGGGGACTGCCAGAGGAGCCCCCCCCCCCGAAGACGTGCCTCGCAGGGGCTTCCGCACGGGACCCCCTGAGCTCCCAGAGACGGTCACCGCGGTCTCGAGGGGCTTTGAAGGGGATCCCAGGGAGGAGTGGGCGCCAAACGGACAACGAACGTGTGATCGTTTTTTTACTCATTGTTTTGCCGATCGGCGCGGGCCCTCAGACCCCCCCTCCCCCCCACTCCCCTGGAGTGGATCTTGGCTGTTTTTGGGCGCCTGTTTCGAGCAGGCGGAGTCTCCCCCATGTGACGCTTTGTTGCAAACAGTCGCGCTAAGCAGAGGTCTGGAGCCAGACCCCCCCCCCGCCTTCCGCCCAACGTCGAAGCGCCGAACCAGCAAACGCCCACCCCGTGTGAACAGACGCTCCCTGGCCCCCGATCAGTTCCCAGGGGTACCAGGCCTCCCCTGCTGGCTCTCGTGGGGCTCCCAGCGGCCCCCTGCTGGCCCCCCGACGGGGGAGACTTGGGGCGCGAGGCCGAGGCGACACGGAAGGGGGGGGGGCCACGTGCGAACCCGACCCTTGCACCCCACGATGTCTGAGGGGGAGGGGTGGGGGTTCACTTCCGTCCCGCGGCCCTTCCCGTGCCCGGCGCGGGCGGACAGAAATGGTGCCCTCCGCGCTCCAGGAGCAGTGCGCACGGAGGGGGGCACCACACCATCCTGGAGGAGGGTCGGAGGAGGGTCCACGGGGGGGGGAGGGCGAAGAGCAAACTCCTCGACAGGCACCGCTGCCGTCCCGCGACGGCTCTGGCGAGCAGCCAGAGGTGCGGGGCGTCGGCGAGCAGGTTGCGGACCTGCAGAGCGGCAAGTTCGATCCCGCATTCGTCGAGTCCGTGAGGAGCCTCCTCAAGGCAAGGTCTGATAAGCTGCAAAGGAGCGGCGCCATCGGTAGCACCGACGTGCCTATGCGAGCGTCCGTGCTCGCTGGGGCGGAAGCCTTCTTGGCGCTGGCCGAGAAGAAGGAAGAGATGGCGGCCCGAAAGTCTGTAGTGGCCTCGGCCGAGCACTTCATGAAGTGGTCAGCCACTGACGAGGGGCTGAAGGCCATGAGGCCCACTGGTGACAATGGCGTGACCATCGTCCAGAGAAGGCCAAGCGTCCAGGAGCAGGCCGAGCATCTGGAGGGCGCCGTGCACGCGTTCATGTCCTGGGCCCTGCCGGTGGAGCCAGCCACGCAGGAGCAGGGCGAGGGCGGCAAGGCCACGCTGGCCCCAGCAGCCCAGCCATTTCAGCAGTCCCAGATGAGCAGTATGCCCGTCGTGTCCGTTGCCCCTCCAGTAGTCCTGGCCGACCTGGAGCAGGACGAGGGTGGTGAGACCTCGCCGGAGGCCGATGAACTGAGAGAGAGCCCCCGGAAGAGCCATGGCCTCTCCCGGCGGAGCTCCCAGAGCTCGCAGTGGGGCGGCAGTGGCGCAAGCGTGACCAGCTCGCAGTGGAGGTTCTTCCAAGAGACGTCGGACAGCCACCTGGTCGCGAGCGTGCGGGACTACATCAAGGCAGAGGAGACCCAAAGGAGAAGCATCAGGGCGGAGGAAGCCCGAAGCACTCCCAAGGGCATCGTCGACGGTGCGAACAGGTCGCGGGACAGCGTGGTGCGCCTGGAGGGGGCGCGCGCCTTCCTGGCGCTCGCCGATTGCGAGAGCGAGGACGACGCACGGACCAAGGGAGCGGGCGGGGAGACCCTCGCCTCCGCGAGGCGGTTCGTGGAGTGGGTCGCCACCGAGCAGGGGGTGCAGGAGGTGTACGTGAACAGGATGGGCTTCAGGGGGCCCGCTGTCCGCCAGCAGACCCGCGAGAGCTTCGAGGGTGCCGCCCACGCCTTCCTTGAGTGGGCAGCAGAGATGGAGGACACCATGGCGGCCGAGGGGTTGAGCCCCTCCGGCAAGGGCGCCGAGGCTGCCGACGAGAACGTGGAGGAGGCTCTGAAGGAGCTCATGGCACCAGCAGTCCAGTCATTTGAGCAGTCAAGGATGAGCAGTCCAACCGTCATGACCATGGCCCCACGAGTCATCGCTGTGCAGGAGCAGCCGCATCCCGAGCCAGCGGTTCAGGTGGCCAAGCTGGCAGATGCCCTGAAGGGCTTCCTGAAGCTGTCCAGTGGAGAGCAAGGCGAACAGATCACAGACGTCGACGGGCGCCCCCTCGACGGCGACAGCGCTTTGGCGAAGGGAGCGCACGCGTTGTTGTCGCTGTTCGAGGGCGAGGCATCAGAGGCAAAGCCTGACTCGGAAAAGGTCCTTGCGGCTGGTGCCTTCCTGTCTTGGGCGACGCAGGGCGAGGCGAAGGTTCTCAAGGGCGGCTCGCCCATCACTGTTTGCGGCGAGGAGACCGGGTTCAGTCTGACCGATGCGGCGCGGGCCTTCGCCGAGTGGGCAGCTGACAAGTCCTCGGACAAGCCTGTGTTCGCTGAGTCGCTCGCTCTGGCCATGGAGACGGCCGCCGAGGAGCAGAGGCGTTTAGAGGAGCAGAAGTCTGCCAAGCCAGCTCAGGTGGTAAACCTGGCAGATGCCCTGAAGGGCTTCCTGAAGCTGTCCAGAGGAGAGCAAGGCGAAGAGGTCACAGACGTCGACGGGCGCCCTCTCGACGGCGACAGCGCTTTGGCGAAGGGAGCGCACGCGTTGTTGTCGCTGTTCGAGGGCGAGGCGTCAGAGGCAAAGCCTGACTCGGAAAACGTCCTTGCGGCTGGTGCCTTCCTGTCTTGGGCGACGCAGGGCGAGGCGAAGGTTCTCAAGGGCGGCTCGCCCATCATTGTTTGCGGCGAGGAGACCGGGTTCAGTCTGACCGATGCGGCGCGGGCCTTCGCCGAGTGGGCAGCTGACAAGTCCTCGGACAAGCCTGTGTTCGCTGAGTCGCTCGCTCTGGCCATGGAGACAGCCGCCGAGGAGCAGAGGCGTTTAGAGGAGCAGAAGTCTGCCAAGCCAGCTCAGGTGGCCAAGCTGGCAGATGCCCTGAAGGGCTTCCTGAAGCTGTCCAGTGGAGAGCAAGGCGAAGAGGTCACAGACGTCGACGGGCGCCCTCTCGACGGCGACAGCGCTTTGGCGAAGGGAGCGCACGCGTTGTTGTCGCTGTTCGAGGGCGAGGCGTCAGAGGCAAAGCCTGACTCGGAAAACGTCCTTGCGGCTGGTGCCTTCCTGTCTTGGGCGACGCAGGGCGAGGCGAAGGTTCTCAAGGGCGGCTCGCCCATCATTGTTTGCGGCGAGGAGACCGGGTTCAGTCTGACCGATGCGGCGCGGGCCTTCGCCGAGTGGGCAGCTGACAAGTCCTTGGACAAGCCTGTGTTCGCTGAGTCGCTCGCTCTGGCCATGGAGACAGCCGCCGAGGAGCAGAGGCGTTTAGAGGAGCAGAAGTCTGCCAAGCCAGCTCAGGTGGCCAAGCTGGCAGATGCCCTGAAGGGCTTCCTGAAGCTGTGTGGAGAGCAAGGCGAAGAGGTCACAGACGTCGACGGGCGCCCTCTCGACGGCGACAGCGCTTTGGCGAAGGGAGCGCACGCGTTGTTGTCGCTGTTCGAGGGCGAGGCATCAGAGGCAAAGCCTGACTCGGAAAACGTCCTTGCGGCTGGTGCCTTCCTGTCTTGGGCGACGCAGGGCGAGGCGAAGGTTCTCAAGGGCGGCTCGCCCATCACTGTTTGCGGCGAGGAGACCGGGTTCAGTCTGGCCGATGCGGCGCGGGCCTTCGCCGAGTGGGCAGCTGACAAGTCCTCGGACAAGCCTGTGTTCGCTGAGTCGCTCGCTCTGGCCATGGAGACGGCCGCCGAGGAGCAGAGGCGTTTAGAGGAGCAGAAGTCTGCCAAGCCAGCTCAGGTGGTCAACCTGGCAGATGCCCTGAAGGGCTTCCTGAAGCTGTCCAGAGGAGAGCAAGGCGAAGAGGTCACAGACGTCGACGGGCGCCCTCTCGACGGCGACAGCGCTTTGGCGAAGGGAGCGCACGCGTTGTTGTCGCTGTTCGAGGGCGAGGCATCAGAGGCAAAGCCTGACTCGGAGAACGTCATTGCCGCTGGTTCCTTTCTGGTTTGGGCGACGCAGGGCGAGGCGAAGGTTCTCAAGGGCGGCTCGCCCATCACTGTTTGCGGTGAGGAGACCGGGTTCAGTCTGACCGATGCGGCGCGGGCCTTCGCCGAGTGGGCAGCTGACAAGTCCTCGGAAAAGCCTGCTTTCGCCGAGTCGCTCGCCCTGGCGATGGAGACGGCCGCAGAGGAGCAGAGGCGTTTAGAGGAGCAGAAGTCTGCCAAGCCAGTTCAGGTGGCCAACCTGGCAGATGCACTGAAGGGCTTCCTGAAGCTGTCCAGTGGAGAGCAAGGCGAAGAGGTCAAAGACGTCGACGGGCGCCCTCTCGACGGCGACAGCGCTTTGGCGAAGGGAGCGCACGCGTTGTTGTCGCTGTTCGAGGGCGAGGCATCAGAGGCAAAGCCTGACTCGGAGAACGTCATTGCCGCTGGTTCCTTCTTGTATTGGGCAACGCAGGACGAGGCAAAGGTTCTCAAGGGTGGGTCGCCCATCACTGTTTGCGGCGAGGAGACCGGTTGCAATCTGTGCGATGCGGCTCGGGCCTTCGCCGAGTGGGCAGCTGACAAGTCCTCGGACAAGCCTGCGTTCGCCGAGTCGCTCGCCCTGGCGATGGAGAAGGCCGCAGAGGAGCAGAGGCGTATAGAGGAGCAGAAGTCTGCCAAGCCAGTTCAGGTGGCCAACCTGGCAGATGCCCTGAAGGGCTTCCTGAAGCTGTCCAGTGGAGAGCAAGGCGAGGAGGTCACCGACGTCGACGGAGGCCGTCTGGACGGCGACAGTGCTTTGGCGAAGGGAGCGCACGCGTTGTTGTCGCTGTTCGAGGGCGAGGCGGCCACAGAGGCAAAGCCTGACTCGGAGAACGTCATTGCCGCTGGTTCCTTCCTGTATTGGGCAACGCAGGACGAGGCAAAGGTTCTCAAGGGTGGGTCGCCCATCACTGTTTGCGGCGAGGAGACCGGTTGCAATCTGTGCGATGCGGCGCGGGCCTTCGCCGAGTGGGCAGCTGACAAGTCCTTGGACAAGCCTGTGTTCGCTGAGTCGCTCGCTCTGGCCATGGAGACAGCCGCCGAGGAGCAGAGGCGTTTAGAGGAGCAGAAGTCTGCCAAGCCAGTTCAGGTGGCCAACCTCGCAGATGCCCTGAAGGGCTTCCTGAAGCTGTCCAGTGGAGAGCAAGGCGAGGAGGTCACCGACGTCGACGGAGGCCGTCTGGACGGCGACAGTGCTTTGGTGGATGGTGCGCATGCGTTGTTGTCGCTTTTCGAGGGCGAGGCGGCCTCAGAGGCAAACCCTGACCCAGAAAAGGTCCTTGCTGGCGGTTCCTTCCTGTATTGGGCAACGCAGGACGAGGCAAAGGTTCTCAAGGGTGGGTCGCCCATCACCGTTTGCGGCGAGGAGACTGGTTGCAATCTGTGCGATGCAGCGCGGGCCTTCGCCGAGTGGGCAGCTGACACGTCTTCGGACAAGCCTGCGTTCGCCGAGTCGCTCGCCCTGGCGATGGAGAGGGCTGCCGAGGAGCAGAGGCGTATAGAGGAGCAGAAGTCGGCCAAGCCAGCTCAGGTGGCCAACCTGGCGGATGCCCTGAAGGGCTTCCTGAAGCTGTCCAGCGGAGAGCAAGGCGAAGGGGTCACAGACGTCAACGGGCGCCCTCTCGACGGCGACAGTGCTTTGGCGAAGGGAGCGCACGCGCTGTTGTCGCTGTTCGAGGGCGAGGCATCAGAGGCAAAGCCTGACTCGGAAGACGTCCTTGCCGCAGGTTCCTTCCTGTCTTGGGCGGCGCAGGGCGAGGCGAAGGTTCTCAAGGGCGGCTCGCCGATCACTGTTTGCGGCGAGGAGACCGGTTGCAATCTGCGAGATGCGGCGCGGGCCTTCGCCGAGTGGGCAGCTGACAAGTCCTCGGACAAGCCTGCGTTCGCCGAAGCTCTCGCCCTGGCGATGGAGACGGCCGCCGAGGAGCAGAGGCTTATGGAGGAGCAGAAGTCGGCCAAGCCAGCTCAGGTGGCCAACCTGGCGGATGCCTTGAAGGGCTTGTTGAAGCTGTCCAGCGGAGAGCAAGGCGAAGAGGTCACAGACGTCGACGGGCGCCCTCTCGACGGCGACAGCGCTTTGGCGAAGGGAGCGCACGCATTGTTGTCGCTGTTCGAGGGCGAGGCCTCAGAGGCAAACCCTCACCCAGAAAAGGTCCTTGCCGCAGGTTCCTTCCTGTCTCGGGCGATGCGGGGCGAGGCGAAGGTCCTCAAGGGCGGCTCGCCCATCACAGTTTGCGGCGAGGAGACCGGTTGCAGTCTGTCCGACGCGGCGCGGGCCTTCGCCGAGTGGGCAGCCGACAAGTCCTCGAGCAAGCCAGCGTTCGCCGAGGCTCTCGCCCTCGCGGTGGAGGCTGCACCGGCAGTCCAAACGCTGCAGCAATCTGCGCTCGGCAACCCAACTGTCATGACCACGGCCCCATCAGCCGCACTTGTGCAGGAACAGCCGCCTCCCGAGACGGCAGATCAGGTGGCCAACCTGAGAGATGCCCTGAAGGGTCTGCTGGAGCTGTCCAGCAGAGAGGAGGACGAGGAGGTCACAGACGTCGACGGGAACCCTATCGACGCCAACTGCGCCTTGGCGAAGGGCGCGCACGCGCTGCTGTCGCTGTGCGACTTCCAGACGCCTGAGGAGAGCCCTGATCCAGAAAAGGTCCTTGCTGGCGGATCCTTCCTGTCCTGGGCGACGCGGGGCGAGGCGAAGATCCTCCAGGACGGTTCGCCCATTACCGTTTGCGGCGTTGAGACCGGGATCAGTTTGACCGATGCGGCGCGGGCCTTCACCGAGTGGGCGGCCGACAAGTCTTCGGAGAAACCCCTGTTCGCCGAGGCCCTCGCGCTGGCTGTGAACATGCCCAGGCCAATCATCGGGACGAAGCATGGCCCCCGCAAGGCCCGGAAGCTCGCTGCTGTGGGCCACGCGGCGATGGCACTGGGAGAACTCCGGGCGCGGGCAACTACGCCGATCGCGTCGGTGACCAGCATCTCGCCGCTCGAGGCCCTGCTCGGCGCCGTGAGAGCCTTCCTGAGGCCACCAGGCGGGGACGAGGCCGGCAGGGCAGGCCAGGACCTCTCCGCTGGCGCCGAGGCACTCGTGGCCTTGGCCTCCGAAGCGCACGTCCTCGGCATGCAGGATGGGTACATCGTGATGGCTTCTGACGCCAGTCCAGACCACGTCGGCGCTGCACTTGATTTCTTGGAGTCCAGTGGAGGAAAGGCTACCCATACCGCTGCCCTTCCCTCGTCACTACGGCCGGATTCTCCTCGACATTCTGGTCGGATCGCGCCCCAGGAGAGGTCCGCGGAGCAGCGGTCTGGGTATTTTTTGGTTCCCCCAGGAGTGGGCGCTGGGGCGCGGCGCGCCGCGGGTTAGCGCCGGCCCGACCTCCTCGTCCGCCGCCGAGGCCAGCGCCGACCTTGCGGGCGCCACCGAAGCCTTCCTGGCATGGGCTTCGGTAGAAGAGGACGCGCTGGCCGACGGGGGCAAGAGCAGGCCGCCGCTCGCGAGGGTGCTGGCCGAGAAGATGCGCAGGCGCAAGGATGCGCGCATGCGAGGCCGAGCGCCACCGCCAGAAGCCATCGTCAAGCTCGACGACATTCAGCCTCAGGAGGTTCAGGAGAACGATGCTGGCGCTTTCTCGGATCAGCCGGAAGCCGAGCCCATCCCTGGCGTCCTGCAGATGAACAGCAAGAGGAGCAAGAGCGTGCTCTATTCTGGCGAGCAGGCGGTCTCCATGGCGAGCCTCATGGATCTGCGCAGCCCGCACGGCCCCTCACCCCAAGTGCAGCATCTGGTGCCCCTGACGGACTTTGCGTCGGTCGTCTTGGCGGCCATGGGTCGGACCTCGGCTGGGCTGTCGGCCGTCACTCAGGCGTGGCGGCGCGCGAGCCTGAGCTCGGCTCAGGCTGTCGCGCAGGCAGTTCAGCAGCTGAGAGCCGCCAAGGACAGCGGCCCCGAGCTCGCGGCTGCCGTGGAACAGCGTGTGGCTCAGCTGCCCCGATGCACTCGTTTTGAAACGCAACACGTACCGTGTCCAGAACGTCCGAGTCAACACGTTGCGTGTTGGCTCCGCGTGTTGGCCCACGTTTTGGCGAGCGTGCCGCGCCAGGCGTACGTTTTCAATCTGCGTGTTGAGCTCCGTGTCAATACGCTGCGGGCTGCGTGTTTCGAAGAAGAGAAAGCTCCATAAACACAAACTCTTGGCGCTCTGCGCGGATTTCTTGGATCTGCGCTGCCCCCCCCCCCCCCCAGCGGCGCCTCCGGCGCCGACCTCAGCGCGCGGAGCGCCAAAAGTTTATGCTTGTGTTGTTTTCTCTTCCTCTGGTGTTAAACCAGGCCTGCCCCTCTACAGCAAGAATATTCAATAATAGTCAAACATACTCTGGGGACTATATCCGTAAGGGCTTCGCCCCCTGCCGCCGGATAATGGGCAATGCAAGAGCGAAAGCAGGAGGCCTTGGCGCCGCCGTGAAGCAGCGTCGGGACTTCACGCGAAGACGATGAGGAATCGACAAGACAAATTGATATTCTGGAATTCGGTGTTGTATTTCGAGGGTTTATGATTTCGGATACGCGAATGGCGCGTCATTTACAAGGGTTTAAGGCTTCGGGCTCGCAGATATAATGTCATTTACGCAGGTTTATGGCCTCGAAGACGCGAGCACTGCGTACTTTACAAGGGTGTATGGCTTCGGACACGCGATTATTGCATAATTTCCGAGGGTGCATGGCTTCGAGGTCGCAAGTATTGCATCATTTACGCAGGTGTACGGCTTCGGAGACGCTAATCTTTTGTATTTCGGAGACGGAACTTCGGGGACGCCGAATATCGCGTGATGTACAAGCGTTTGTGGCCTTGGAGACGCAAGCATTGTGAAACTTGAAAAGGGTTTATGGTTTCGGGGGCACAAGCATGGCATATTTTACGAGGGCTTATAGTTTCGGGGACGCGAACATTGCGTAATTCACAACGGTCTATGGCCTCGGGGACGCGAGCATGGTGTAATTTACAGGGGTTTATGGTCTCGGGGGTGGAATTTCATTTATTTTTGCTTGTCCAACGCCCCCCCCAGGAATTCAGACAACGCGACTCGGGCGTGGTAACTAGGTTCCTTCTCGGCTCCCCCCCCTCGCGCGGTTTATCAACAAGGAACAGTAAGCAGCAAAAAGCGTAACTGTAACAGTGGAAACTGGAAACTAGAACTGGCGCAGGGAACAGCAGACCGGTGGCCCCACAGGGGGCCGGCGGATTTTTCTATATATTTTTTGACCATTCCGAACATTTTCTGACTATCTTACACTTTTCCTCGAAAATCGGCCTGTAGGGGGACAGGCCTGATCTAACTCTGGGGTTGCGCGTCGGGGCGGCCAAGGTGCATGGTCCAGAGGTCGGCGGGCGGAGGCTCAACGCAGCAGCTGAGGGTGGCAGTGCAGGTGGAGGAGCTGCTGCAGAAGGATCACCACCCACCAAACCACCCCCACCCAGCCCGAAGGCCTCAGTTTGCCCTCCATTTCCAGTGGGGGGGAGGGGTCGGGGAGCCTTGAAAAAGCACATGGAACCCGTACCCCTCCTAGCCCGACATTCGGGTCAAATGCGGGTCTTCGGGTGGGGCTGGGGTGGCCTGGCAGGTAGTCACAGGAGGCCCCTGCCCACGAGGCCACTGCCCGCGAGGCCCCCGCCCGCGAGGCCCCCGCCCGCGAGGCTCCCGCGGGCGGAAGCGGCTCCGAGGACGGAGTGGGGATCAAAAAGCTCAGGAGGGGAAAAAACACAGACACCATTAATCGTCGATTCCCTGAAAACATGGGAAAATATGGGAAGTGGGGGGGAAGACAAAAACACAGAAAATATTGGAAAATATTGGGAATCCTGTTATTTGTGTGTATTTATTTGTGTGTCCCAGGGCCCCTTCAGAAGCCCTGTGCTCCCCAGATCTCCCCAGAGCTCCGACCCTGAGATCCCGGCGCCTCGACCTTCCCAGCCATCCCGTGGCGTTGGGTATTCGTTTTGAAGGAACAGCGCTCCGCGTTCCTTCCTCCCTCCTTCCTCCTCCCCCCTTCTCCCTCCTCTCATCATCACCAGCATCACCATCAGCTTCATCATCATCATCATCATCATCATCATCATCATCATCACCATCACCATCACCATCACCATCACCATCATCATCATCATCATCATCATCATCATCATCATCATCATCATCATCATCATAATCATCATCATCATCATCATCATCATCATCATCATCATCATCATCATCATCATCACTATTATTTTTACTCTTAGTAATCTTATCACCGTCAACATCATCACCATCATCATCGCCCTCATTATCAGCAGCATCATCAGCAGCATCATCAACAGCATCATAATCCCCATCACCATCATAATTACGTTCACCATCACCATCACCACAACATCACTATCAACATCACCATCACCATCGCCGTCATCGTCGCCATTCTCGTCACCATCGTCATCGTCACCATCATCCTCATCATCATCGGCATTACCGTCACCATCATCGCCAATCATGTCGGCACACCTCTCACACGCTTGGTGGTCCCACAAGGAGCTCCACCGAAGGCCCAGTGGCGGGGTTCGCATGCGTCTGCCCCGCCCAGTACTGCGTTTCGTGGCCCCATAGGGAGCTCCAACGATGGTCTCGGGGGCGGTGTGCGCATGCGTCCCCCCCACCCGGTACCGCGCTTCGCGGCCCCATAAGGAGTTCCACCGAAGGCTTTTGTGGCTGTGTTTGCATACGGCACCACCGAAGGCTTCAGTGGCGGTGTTCACATGCGTCGCCCCCCGCACAATACTGTGCTTCGTTGCCCCATGCGGAGCTCCACCGAAGGCCCCAGGGGCGGTGTTCGCATGCCTCGCCCCCACCCAGCACACCGCTTCGTGGCTCCATGGGGGGGTCCAGCGAAGGCCCCCGTGGCGTTGTTCACATGCGTCTCCCCCACCCAGTACAGCGTTGGCCCCATAGGGAACTCCGCCGAAGGCCCAGTGGCGGTGTTTGCATGCGTCCCCCACCCAATACAGCGCTTCGTGGCCCTAACGGGAGCTCCACCGAAAGCCCCAGTGGCGGTCTTCGCATGCGTCCCCCTGACGCAATACAGCGCCTCGTGGCCACACAAGCAGCTCCACCGAAGGCTTCAGCGGCGTTGTTCGCATGCGGCTCCTCCATACAGTCATGCGCCACAGAAGGCCTCAGTGGCGGTGTTCGCATGCGTCTCCCCCGCCCAGTACAGCGTTCCGTTGCCCCATAGGGAACTCCACAGAAGGCCCCAGTGGCGGTGTTCGCATGCGTTTGCCACACTCAGTACAGCGTTTCGTTGCCTCGTAGGGAGCTCTACCGAAGGCCAAAGTGGCGATGTTCGCACGCGGCTCCCCCACAAAGTACCGCGCCTCGCGGCCCCATAGGGAGCCCTACTGAAGGCCTCGGTGGCGGTGTTCGAGTGCGTCTCCCCAACCCAGTACAGCGAGCGCTTCGTGGCCCCAGAAAAGGCGGCCCACCGAAGGCTTCAATGGCCGTGTTCGCATGTGTCGCCCCCGCCCAGTGCAGCGCTTCGTTGCCCCATAGGGAGCTCCACCGATGACCCCAGTGGCGGTGTTCACATGCGTTTCCCCCACTCAGTACAGCGTTTCGTTGCCTCGTAGCGAGCTCCACCGATGACCCCAGTGGCGGTGTTCGCATGCGCTTCCCCCATTAAGTACAGCGTTTGGCTGCCTCGTAGGGAGCTCCACCGAAGGCCCCAGTGGCGATGTTCGCATCTGTCTCTCCCGCCCAGTACAGCTGTCCGTGACCTCATAGGGGGCGCCACCGAAGGTCCCAGTGGCGGTGTTCGCATGCGCCTCCACCGTCCAGTACCGCGCTTCGCGGCCCCATAGGGAGCTCCACCGAAGGTCTCTTTGGCTGTGTTTGCATGCGTCTCCCCCACCCAGTACAGCGCTTTGTGGCCCCATAGGGGGCTCCACCGAAGGCTTCACTGGGTTCACTGGCAGTGTTCGCATGCATTGCCCCCACCCACTGTGGGTGGTCGCATGCGTTTCTTTCGCTCATTACGGTACACCTCTTGCGCGATCCGTGGCTCCATAGGGAGCTCCACCGAAGTCCTCAGGGCAAGGTACACGATGACGGACGATGACGGCCATGATGTTAATGGTACGGCCATGATGGCGGTTGACGATGATGATGGTTGTGATGGCGATGATGTTGATGCTGTTGTTGTTGATGATGATGATGATGATGATGACGATGCTGTTGTTGATAAGATGATGGCCATGGTGATGATGATTATGCTGATGGTGGTGGTGATGATGGTGATGGTGACTGTGATGCTGATGCTGATGCTGATGATGATGATGATGCTTCTGCTGATGATGACGGTTGTGGTGATGACGATGACGGACATGACGTTGATGATATTGACAATGATGATAGTGGTGATGGTTATGGTGATGGCTATGGTGATGATGATGATGATGATGATGATGATGATGATGATGATGATGATGATGATGGTGCTGATGATGATGTCGATGGTGATGATGACGACAATGATGCTGACAGTGACGGTGATGATGATGCTGATGTTGATGATGATGATGTTGATGATGATGACCATGATGCTGACGATGATGATGATGATGATGATGATGATGATGATGATGACGATGATGATGATGGTGATGATGGTGATGATTATGATGTTGTTGCGGATGACGATGATGGTGATGATGATGTTGATGGTGATGAGGCTGTTGATGATGATGATGCTGCTGCTGATGATGATGATGATGATGATGATGACCACGATGATGCTGATTATGGTGATGGTCAATATGTCGATGATGATGATGATGATGATGATGATGATGATGATGATGATGATGATGATGATGATGATGATGATGATGATGATGATGATGATGACAATGACGACGACGATGATGATGAGGATGAGGAGGAGGAGGAGGAGGAGGAGGAGGAGGAGGAGGGTGATGATGGGAGGAGGGGGAGGGGAAGGAGGAAGGAGGAGGAAGGAACGCAGGGCGCTGTCTCTTCAAGACGACGCACGCGCGTTCGTCACCCTCACCTTGCACGCTTCGCGGCTCCATGGGGAGCTCCTCCGAGGCTGAAGCGCTGGGGCCCGCGTGCCGTTTTGCGTGGCCCCACGAGGAGCTCGACCGAGGCCCCAGGGGCAGCGCCCGCGCGGCGGCCTGGCCCCATTGCGGCGCACCCCTCGCACGCTTCGCGGCCCCATGGCGGGTTCCACCTACAGCCCCCGCATGGCGGCCCCGCTCCACATCGGCACACCCCAGGTTATGAAGGGTTGACCTGGTGAGTGCATTCAAGCCGATTCAGTGGTCAACGGGGGGGGTGTTAGTGGTGGAGCGTTTCCGCCGTTATTCATCGTTCCAGGGGGGTCAATTTCGATCGGACCCCCCGTCATTTCTCCCAAGTGGGGGGTCTGCCTGCGCGCGATTTGTCAGTTGTCGGCTTCTGCTGCTGCTGCTGCTGCTCCATGCTGCTGCTGCTGCTGCTCCATGCTACTGCTGCTCGTACGTTTCCAAGCGGCCCCCAGAGGCCCCCAAGAGCGCCCCAAGACGCCCACAAGAGCGCCCCCAAGAGCGCCCAAGAGAGCCCCAAGATTTATTGTTTTTTCTTTGACCGCTCTGGGAGCTTTTTGGTGGCCCCCAAGAGGCCCCCAAAGGCTCCCCAGAGGCCCCCAAGAGGCCCTCAAGGGCCCCCAAGAGGCCCCCAAGAGTCTCCCTAGAGCGGCCCAAGAGGCCCCCAAGAGGCCTCCAAGAGCGCCCAAGAGGCCCCCAGGAGGCCCCCAAATTATTAAGAAAAAGTAACGGAAATCACAATTTTCTAAGATTTCGGGGGACCCGCCGCTATCGCCCCTGTTTTGAACACTTTTTGGTGCGTCGCCGCGGCTTGTTTTTATTGGCCGGCCCGCCCAGAGGGACGTCTAGAACATTTGCTTTGTTGGGGGTTCCACTATTCAGGGGACATTCGAAAAACCCACCGTTTCGGCAGGCCCCATGAATAGTGGAAGCGGGGGCCAGGGGGGCCCAAGACGGCCAGAAAAGGACACCAAAATCATCAAAGTGCGGCCTTGGAGGCCCCATGATGGCCCCAAGGGGCCGCGATATTCCCCCAAGAAGGCGCCGTATGGCTTCAATGGCTTCCAAGACGCTCTTGGGGGCTTTCGGGGCCTGTATGCGTGCGGGCTTTCGGGGCCTTTATGGGGGCCTTCTGGTGGGCTTCTTGGGGCCTTATGGGGCCATGTCGGGGGCCTTTTGGGGCCCTCTTGGAGGCTTCTGGGGGCCTTATGGGGCCATCTTGGGGGCATGTGGGGGGCCTTTCGGGAATATTATGGCCTCTGGGGGTGGTTTGGACCCCTGTCCAACGACTTGTGTCGTGCCAAGCCAGAGTGATTTGCTCATAAAATGATTCTGCAATGCGTCAAAAGCTTTTCTTGCATCGCCGAAGTGGGGTGTTGTGCTTGAAGTTGGGTTGTTATTGTTCGAGACCCCCCCCTCGTGTGGCGCCGTTGGAATCGTTATTTATCGTTCCAGGGGGGTGAGTTAGTGTTAGTCAGGTTTTTCAGTCGTCACGGCTGAGGGAAGGTTGAGTGTTTCGCG